ACCTACTTACCAACAGACGGAGACCCCGCAGAGACACCTGCCCAGTTGCGACAAGCGGTTTTTTATTATCAAGAAAGTGAAAGTTGTATGCTGACGATAGAGAAGTAGACCGAGAGAAATAAAAAAGGGTAAAAAGTATGCTGACGAAATAAAACACAGAGACGACCGAGAGAAAAAAAAAGGTAGTAAACCTATAACCCAAGGCAATGGTGTTGGTGAAACCCCAGGCGATGTCATGTGATGCAAATTATGATCACCATTACGTAATTTTTTTGATACATTAATAGTTAAAATGATGATACTTGAGTTGCGACCCGTAGACATTGAACTAACTTATGAAATCTAAGAATATACAGATTTCTATATCAAAGATTCTAAGCGAGGTGATGGTAGCAATGTTATATTGAAAATATTGAGTATTTCCTGGTTCTCGACACGATATGATTAATTCTTTCCTTATATGATTTTTGTTACATGAACGCATTCTAATATTGTTCGGTTTATAAGCAATGTCCTTATGGGATGGATGAAAAATGGTTGAATTATGACGAGTTAGTGGTTGACGTTTGGAATCATTACAAAAATCGAAAATCGAAAATCGAATCGGCAATTAATCGGGAAACGATTTTCGATTCAATCAAAAATCGGCAAAAACGGTGTTAATTTTTTAATTTTGAAGTATAGAACAGTTGTAAAAATTTATAAAACAATCATTTATAATATTTATTTATTAGAAATAAAAGCTAAAGATGTTTAAATACAAATTAATCAAAAATTCTGTTTTACAAGGCGTGACCATCACGTGACATCTCGTTGGGAGATTTTTTTTATTTTTCGATTTTAAAACTTTTTTTTTCTAATAAAATATTAGATTGTTCACTCAAAATTAAATTTAGTTAATTCACTTTTAATTATTTAAAGCGAGTTTGAAATTCAAAATCGTTATTACAATACGACTTTCGATTCCGAACCCAATTATGCAGGATAGATTTGGTACTTGAAATTGATAATGATTTTTGGATGTAATGACAATGAGGGTAGGGTGATCATAATTTTTCTTGCCTTTTTTTTATCCATACTTAAAATTTTTAAGTAGGCAGATTTTTAAAAAAGGACTATTTCATTCTCTTGGGTGGTCGCGAAACGGTCTTATTCGACAAAATAAAGCAACTGATTTCATTTTTCTTTATTTTTCACATGTTTAACCATTTCTTTATATGATCTCCTTAACTTCCAGATAAATCTTTGAATCACATTTCGGAATGTATTCTCTATCAGTGATAACCGTTATTTATAAAAGGTCAAGAATTCACCGATTATCTTTGAATTTGTATTCTAATAAGTAAGAATGTATCATTTTCGATCAAGATGGAGATTCCATTTGATTATAAAGAAGTTAGGAAAATTTATATAGATTTTTGATTATCATTACAGTAATCAAAGCTAAAGAAAAAAAGTCTATTGTCAAAAATAGGTAGGTTATAATTATAATTTCATTAAATTATACAAAACAATATAATTTAATTCAATAAAATCAACAAATTAAATTATAATTAAATAACAATGGCTATTTAATATATAATGTTAAATACCTATAATAACTCAGTAACGGGGTCAGAATTATTAGTTTAAAATTGTCCGGGCTGGATGTGTAAAAGTGCCAGCCCGAATTAAAAGATCATTTTTTATTTAAAAAATACAATGTCAAATTTAATGGAGAATTAAAACGTCAACAAAGAAAGGAAAAAAAGTTTATAAAAATTTATGTATTTATATTTGTAGAATAAAAAATCAAATTAATTAAAATTTCGGGCCAATTTTTCATATGTTTTAGTAATATGCTTGAATTATCACAAATAAAAGCCACAATTCGCGGATAACCAGAAATATCAACAAAATTGCTACTATAGAAAATCACACATGAAAATACCCATCGTAAACGTTTCAAGTGATGTTAAATTGTTGAATGACTATATGGCGCAAACTACTGTGATATATTTGCTACGACAAAAATATCTTTTGGCGGAGCGTAGCAGGCCAGAGATAAATTTATCCAAGGAAGAAATATCGATACAAAAGCAGTAATCGTAACGGTGGCAGTTCGGTGATTTTTACTCTTAGAATCACGGTTATGCATCTCTAAATAATTCATCATAAGGATCTTTAAAGATTAGGTTTCCCCAAAATGCTCTCTTGATGGGAATTATTCAAAATAATAAACTGATATATTTGGCCAATCCTCACAATTTTACATATGCAACCTATTATTCCACCAATTATGATGTAGTATACCGACTCTTGCTGTGCATTGTTTTATCTTTTCCATTTGACGCTCATTTGGACTGTTATCTTAGTATGAATCCCAACGGGCCTGCAGGAAAGGTGTCGTTGTTTTTCTTTTATAGAAATTTTTTGATGAAATCCAGTAAATACAGTGTGATTTTTATCATTTCCAACTGAAAGCGTAAAAAATCCCAGTGAATGGACAACCAACATCATAGTACACGGAACAACTTTTTTGAAAACATTTCCTTTGGTGTATCTCCATTAATTGCTATAGTTGGAAAGCAACCTAACCACATATTGAAGGTACAGGATTTAATAAGACGTGTATTAAATTAACGTTAGAAGCAAAGCGAAAACATCAAATTTAATAAATCCAACTATTAAATCAAAAAATAATTGAAAATGATTTTAAACTCAAATTAAAAAGTCTTTTCGGCTTAAGAGATTTTTATAGCAGTTCAAACTAATCACTAAATTTAATCCGATATATATATATTTTTTTTTATAAAAAATTAAGTCGAAAATAAATTTTGCCGGTTTTAACTGTTGATAATTTCGACGGATTCGACAAATAAATTTTCAAAATTGGACTTCTGACCTAGACATAATTCTAAGAAAAATTTCTATTTTAAGTTGCAGATCTCCAGTTATTGTATTACACGACTCATTATTAAAGTTACACCGCATAAAACAAAAAAAAAACCTTACATGGTGATTTTGAATAAAACAAGCCCTTTCTTTTTAATAATACATTTATTATTTAAAAGGAATAAATGATGTCCAAACTTAATGATGATATTTATTTCTTGGTTATCGAGAATTTACAAGATGATTCCAAGTCTCTCTTTTCATGTCTATTAGTTAATAGACTTTGGTGTAAGATTGCGGTTCCGGTTTTATGGAAGGATCCGTGGAGCTATAAAGATATAAATTATAAAAACAAAAGTTCTTTATATTACGTTCTCACTTTCTCATTATCCATGAGTACCAAGAAATCTCTAAAGATCCAAGGAATCAATATACCTTCAATTACACACCAATCACTTTTATTTGATTATTTGTTCTTCTGCGAGAGTTTGAATGTAAATGTTATGGATAATATAATTTCTAATGGTAGTAAGTGTACACCTAATAATAGATTTTTGATGCGACGAGAAATTTACAACCTATTTTTAAGAAAATGTTCCGAGTTGAAGTATTTCGACATGATATCACATGAACAGCATATATTTTACTATACAGAAGAGAAGTCTCGATTCGGTTCACTTTGTGAATTAAAATGTGACACATATATTGATCCTGTATACTTTAATAAGTTGGCACGTATCTGTCAATCTATACAAAGGCTCATCGTTATCAATACGGATATTAGAGGCAATAATGGAATCATTAAGTTAATTAAGGCTCAGAAGAATTTACAGTATTTTGAGTGGTTGGATGATTTTATTATTTTTGATTATGCCTTTGTAAAATATTTTTATGAGGAAATCTTTTTAGCATTAGAGAAAAAGGCTGATACCCTTGTTCATCTTGTAACAAGGTTTTGTCGTGGTTATAATTATGCGGAGACCATGCCAATAAAATTCTCGAAATTTCGTAACCTGAAGACATTGATCATCGATACTTCTTGTCTTGGAGTTGAAAGTCAGTTGAATGAATCATGTTATCGAAATCTTGAAGTCTTTCAAATAAACGTTATTCAATCCGAAACAATGATTTACATGATCAATAACAGTGGAGGAAATCTCAGGAAAATTTCTGTAGATGGATATGGCATTAATGATGATAATTGTCTTATTCTTCTTCGTACAATTTATCAAAATTGTCCTTTAGTTGAATATTTGACCCTAGCATTTTCAACATCTGAAGAAAACCTCATCGAATTCGAAAAGTTACTAGAAACTTGTCAAAAATTGAAGGTATTAATATTGAATATCAATGCTTTTATGCGTGACGCATCAGCATCAAAGTTAATCGAAGAAAGAAAGTTGAAATCGGGTGAAAACTTGTCAAAAGCATTAATTAAATCAGCATCAAGTGAACTAAGAGAAATTAGACTTATTTCTCTTGGACTAAGATTTTCATTAGAAACTTTGGAAGATTTTTTAGAAAATTGGAGAGGTCGAATACCACTTACTATGATTACACCAGATCATCATTATAAAGAAGAAGGGTATATGGAGATGATAAATAGATTCAAAAATGATGGCGTGATCAAAGATTTTAAATGTGGTACACACTTTATTTATAAAGTATAGAATACTTTATTATAAAAATTTTTTAAATATCATCATATCATAATAAAATGTCATATACTTTCATAAAAATATGAATAGACTTTCCTTTTTTTTAATAGAATTTTGTGTAAATCTTTCAAGTTTTATAAAAAGATAATGAAATTATAAACACTATTATAATATTATTATAATACCAAGGATTTATCTCAATATACTGCATATACATATTTTTTAAAAAAACATATATTAATAAGTAATAATTACTAAATTAAAAATTATTTATTTTATATCTATTAATATATTTATATTTCAATAATTAATGATAAATAAATTTATTATATCTTAACAAAATAATTATTTTTTAATCTTTCAATTCATAATATTAAAAAAAATAAAGAATAATATTTAAATATTTTTATATCTATAATATATAAAAATTCTACCATTAGAATCCTTTTATTTAAATAATTCTAATGAATTAATTTGAATTAATAATATGATAATATTTATTTAATTTAATATATTTATATTATAATATAATCTTATTTAAATCATTTTAACTATTTTAGATTTTTGAAATTAATGATATTGGTTTCATATATAATTATAATATAATGTATTTTATATAATTTACAACAGAAATTTTTTATATTAAATAAAAAATCTTACTTTTAATATTAATTATTTAATATAAATAAAAATTATAAAAAATGAAAATTTTGCAGAAAAATTCAAATTTTACTTTATAAGCTAAATATGATTTTTTTAGTAAATAAGTTTATAATTTAACTTTACTCAAATTTTTTTTTATTATAAAATAACATTAAATTAACTATAAGTAATATACTTATTTACAGTCATTTAATTATAAATATAAATAAAAAAGTTTAATAAATAAAATAAAATTCTTATTTTAATAAATTAAATAAGTTATTTATTTTTTCTAAATATTTATATGCTTATATATATATATATTATTTTATTAAATAATTAATTAATATACTCAAAATATATTAGTTTAAATTAAATAATTAAATATAAATTGAATTAATTTTTCATTAATTTAAACTAATATTACTAATTTAAAATTTAAAATTTACTAATATTTAACAATTGTTTAATTATATATTTTAATCTTTTATTAAAAATTAATTTTATTTAAATTTTAGCATTTTAAATAGTATTATATTATCTTAAATAATAAATTTATAAATTATATTAATTAAATCTATTTATAATTTAAAGAATTTTTTACAATGTATTTATACTTTAAAAATATTTTATTAATTTTTAATATTAATAGACAATTAGTTATAAATTATATTATAATTATAAAATATAATAATAATAACTAATTTTTTCTAGTAAATTTTTATAACAAATTTAAGTAATAAAAATGCAAAAAAAATATATATATATATGTAAACATTTGATTCATTTAAATGTAAAACAAAAATATAATTTATTTTTATATTTTTATATTTATTGGTAAATAAAAATATTTTATTATGAATTAAAAAAAATTAATATTTATCTTGAAATCAAATAAATTATATTATAAATCTGATTTTTATAAGTTAAATCATTGGTTATAACGTTTTATTTTTAAGTTTATTTTATTATTTAACTTATAAAACTAATTTAAACTTGCTGGATTAGAAATAATGTATTATAATTAAGGATGCTTTTTTAAATTTCATCAAAATTCTATGATTAGTTTTAATAAAATTTTAATAAGAGTTTAATATACCTTTATGATAATTTTTCTAACTTTAGCATTTACTATAATAGTTTTATTACTTTAGCATTTCACTATAATTTCAACATAAGTAATTATAAGATTTTAATATAATTTCATCAAATTTAGCATTTTAGAATTTCAACAAATGAAAAAAACTTTTAGTTTCTCTAACAATCTTAATTTTTTTAATTTAAATAAATAATTTTTTTTTGATTTAAACTTATCTTTTCTTTTTATACTTGTTCTTAAAAATATTATTATAAAGAAAGATAATATTTTTTTCAAGTTTTTACTTTAAAAAAGATTAATTTAATATAATTTATTATTATTTAGAATAAGAAAACATTTGTATATACTATTCTAATAAAAGAAAAATACCAACTATTCAATAAGCTATATATACTAAATTAACAAATAATTCAACTAATACTTAAACAAACACACCTGAAGCCTTTTGGTAGTATCTGTAATTAATCAGGAAATTGAAAATATAAATACTAAAGAAGAATCATAGTAATAATTTGTATTATTCTTTGTTTAATATAAGTAGTAAAATTATTTATTCAATCAATTAAATCTGCAAGATATGCAATTGTAACTCATTCTAAAATATGTTTTCAAAATATTAATAATAAAAATGTCCATCCAAATTTATATAATGCTATAACTATCAAAATTAAAATTCTAACCAAATCCGAATTTAATGAATTTTATGAAGCTGATATATTTACAGAAAGTGAAATTCAATCAACTATTAATTATTTTACAATGAAACCTGATATATTAAATCAAAAGAAAAGATAGTAGTATTTTTTATCAGTCAAAATGTTAAACTTTATTTATTAAAGCTATCATAATGTGATGCATTTTATTTTCAACCATGTAATTCAGCTGAAGGTATTTAAATTACATTATTTATTATTTAAATTTTTTATTTTTTAAACAGGTTATTGGTATAAATCTGCTTATGTTGGAAGGAATACCTTAAATAAATTTATTAATAATTATAATAATGACAAATATTAAAATCATAGTGGTCGAAAAACCTTTATACAATATTCTAACTGCAAAAGTATGTGATAATGATGTGATGTCAGTTTGCGTCATAAAAATCCACATTATTATCATATTATGAATGACCAAAAACTGTGTTACAGCAAAATACTTTAACACAGGTTAATGGTACTGAACAATTAATTTTGACGCTTTTTATTAAATATTTATTGATAATAATAGCAAATTAAGATGGAAAACAATTAACCTCTTTTACAACAGCACTGAAGTAGGTTCAAGTGATTAAAAAATAGGCATATCTAAATTATCATATTACTTATAGAAAATACCAATTCACCACCATACTTTTAAAAATTGTAATATTACTTTTAATATGAATAAATGAAATAATAATATTGTAATATTACTCAACATATATCTAAAATATACGATAATACTAGTTACTAAATTTTATATAATGTATTTAATTGTTCTAACTGTTGTGCTTCCCAACCTTGCATATTAACCTTTGTTTAAATTAGTATGATCTACTTATTTTCGAAATTGTATTGTTGTAATCTTTTATTTACAAGATCGCAAATAAGCGAAACTATCAAGTAATAATTAAAAAGTATTTAAATTGTAACAAAAAAATCTATATAAAATCATCTATCAAAATTAATTTTGATTGCAACATTTTGACTTCAGCAAACTTTCTAATAATTTCACAAGTAAAGAATCTTTTACTTTGATAAATTGCATTTGAAATTTGTCCACTTTGCCTTTATCACGTATAATTCCATAACTTTTTTCATAATTAATACCCTCAAAGCAACAAAAATCATCTTGTGATTTACCCTTATTATTTTTATTCTCGAGTGTCATCTTCGTACTTCCGACATATCGATAACTTCCAACTTTATAATACGTTACCCATAATTTAATACATTTCTTTTTGTCAAACAATGCCTCGAAATCATCGTTAAATTTGAAATCAAATGTTTGGTATGTTGAATCATATCTGATGAATTCCGTAAAGAACATTTGTTTTCTGGATTCAATGGGTTTTTTATTATTATTTGGACACATGTTAATCTTATCCTTTACCGTTTCGATCTAATATACCATTTTAATTAAAAAGAAAATCAAATTACAAAATAATAAATTAAATAAAATTGGAGAGTTTGGAAAAATTAAAATACCATGAAAAGCCAACCAGTTTCATAACCTTTTAATAATTCATCAGAAATTACAACCGGAATTAGTTCATTCCATCTTTTACAAGTGCTTCGTAACTTGAATAATTTAGAAAAACTAGAAAGTAAAAAGAAAAATTTTAAAATTAAAAAATTATTATACAACGCAAGTAATTTGGTTCTCGATCAAATATCTTTTTTTTCACCTTGTTTCGCGAAAAATCGACATAAAAATGTAAAGCATTATCTCATTTGGTAATTTGCTGGCCATGATTATTTACAAAAAATAAGATTTTTTTTTTTTGAACAAATTTTTTTTTTCAGGCGAGAGAATGGAATTCATTCATATTTATGTAATTTTGATAACAATGGATGCATTGCAGTAGGTGGGCTATTTTGTTTCAATAGAAATAGTCTTATGATTATAACAATATAATTCCCGAATAAGACATGACGCATTAGCTATATTTTGATTAACAATACATGGAATTTATTTAAATACTTTTTGATCACCGTTTTTCAGAAAAAAATCATCACAATTATGGCAAGTTGGTATGTTTGTTGCACAACCGATTGGTAAAACCTTGCATACAGTATATTTTTCCATTTTTTTTTCATTGATCTAAAAAGATCTGCAGGGGGGCTGATCAACTGAACATCCCTTATAAAATAATCAATCAATTCCCTTTTCCATCATTCTCAAATCAAAGATGCAAGCTATAACATATCATGGACCTCATAAAGTTGCTGTTGAAACCGTAGATGTACCGAAAATTATTGAACCAACTGACGCTATTGTGAAAATTACCGTTTGTGGTTTGTGTGGATCGGATCTTCATGGTAAGAAAAAAATATTTATTATTATTTTTTTTATTGAAATATAATGTATAATGTAATAATAACAATAATTTTTATTTAGCCTATAGGGGGGATCAAAGCGGAGTTGATAAAGGAACTATAATGGGCCATGAATTTGTTGGAATAATTCATGAAATTGGAAGTGAAATAACAAACTTGTCGATTGGTGATCGTGTTTTGTCACCCTTTTCGACATCTTGCAGTACTGTACGTAAATTATATTTTCTTATTAACACAAATATAATTAGCTTTATTTGATATATAAATTTTTTATAGTGCTATTATTGTGAGCGTGGATTAACGTGTCGTTGTGAGAAAGGTCAATTATACGGATTTTTATCAGATGGGCAAGGAATTCATGGAGCTCAAGCAGAATACATTCGGGTTCCACTCGCTTCTTCAACATTAGTTAAGGTTCTACCAGACATTACGGATAATGTAGCATTGCTTCTTGGAGATGTGTTATCAACAGGTTACTTTTGTGCTGAAAGTGGTTTGGAGCATTTAGAAGTTGAACTTCGTCAAGTTAGCGTTGTTGTGATTATTGGATGCGGACCTGTTGGATTAATGGCTATTTTATCTTCAATTTTTCTTGGCGTCAAGTTTGTTTTCGCTATTGATTGTATTGAGGAACGATTAAAACTTGCTGAAGAATTTGGCGCTGCCGCTTTGAACTTTGTTGATTGTGATCCTGTGGAGAAGATCAAGGAAGTAACTTCCGGAAGGGGTGCTGATGTCGTGTTGGAGGTAAAGATCTAAGTTTTTTTTTTTTTTTTTTTTTATTGTATATTTAAAAAATATATCTATCTTTTATTTATTTGTAGGTAGTGGGTAATCCTGCGGCGCTTCAATTAGCATTTAAAATACTCAGAAACGGCGGAGTGCTGTCTAGTGTTGGTGTTCACAATTCACCAACTTTTCCGTTTAGTCCAAATGAGTAAATATTTGCTTTTTTTTTTTTTTGATCTAATATCTAAAATCTAATATATATCTTTTATTATTATTCTTAGTGGGTACAATAAAAATCTTACATATAAATCAGGACGATGTCCAGTAAGAAAGATGTTAACAAAATCGATTCCGTTTGCTCTTTCTAAGCAATTTGATTTCGAAAAGATTATTACTCATTCGTTAAAATTGTCAGATGGTGAAATGGCTTATAATATTTTTGAAAAAAAGTTAGATGGATGTATTAAAGTTGTATTCAAGATTTAACTGAAAAAAGGAAGGAAAAAAAAGAAGGAATGTAGATTTTTCTGTATATTTATTTTTAAAATATTTGATTGACACATAAATGTCTTGTATATTATAACCAATTAATACAAATGTATTTTGAAAGTGGAAATTGTAATTTCTTGTGCTAGAATTCCATTTATATTATTATTATAGGAAGGTTTACTCCAATTACTTTAGTTATACCAATTGATTTATTACTTAAAATTTCATTAAATAATTTGTTAGTTAAAAAATATCTTTAATTTATAATATATCATATTTTATTGAAATTATTTTTATAATTAATATATTTAGCAATTTAATATCAATTGATATTACATTATTATTTTAATGAGATAATATATTATAATATAAATTATTATTTATTTTAAATAAGAAATAATTTAAACTAAATTATCAATAAGTAAAAATTTTACTTATTTTACTAAAGGATTACAGGTATTTTATAAAAATGTTAATTATATATTGATAATTGATAAATTATAATAGTTTTTGAAATTTGTTTTTTATTAATAATTAAATAAAATAATATTTTAAATATATATAAATATTACAATTAATACTAAATATTAATTTGTATATTTAATAATTATGTTAATATTAATAATAAATAATAAAAAATGTTTTATATTAAAATTAAAGTTTATATATATCTTAACTTTAAAATAGCTTTATATAAATAAAAATTTTAGATTAGATTCTTTTTGAATAGATAATTTAAAATAATAATTATTGATTAAAAAAAAAAATATAATTATTAATTAATTAAATATTAAATTAAAAAATTTTTATAATAATTTTTATATTGATTACATATATTAATATGTGATCCAAAATATTTTAACATAATAATAATTATTACTAAATAAAATTTTAATATATCTATTATAAATTATATAATAATATAAAAAGTAAAAAATAATATGACTTTTGATATAAGTAAAATAATTTAGATTACATATATAATTATATTTTATTTAAAAATTATACTATTTAAAATTTTTTTTAAATTATTATAAATATAATTTAATATTAATTAATAGTTTATTTGTGTTTAATATTATTACATTGATTACAAATATCATTAATTTTTTATAATAATTATTATATTAGTCTTTCTAAAATTTATCAATATATAAATTATTAAGATTTATAATTAGTATTAATTAATTGTAATAACTTATATAAAATATTTAGTTATTATAGTAATTAAATTATTTAAAAAAAAAAGGATAACTTTATTTAAACTAAATAAATATTTAAATAAAACATTATAATAATATAAGGAATTATATTATAAAATTAAAAATAAGTTATTTGAAAACAAATATTATTTAATAAATATAGATCCTGTAATTTTAAACACTAATTTATAAATGCAGAGGAATATTATAACTGATCAACTAAAAAACTTAGGCATATATAAGATCGTTAACAGCTACACAATATTTTAATTTTTCTGTAGTATCAGAAAAAATTAATCAAATAGGAGCATTAAAATAATTTGAATAGTTGTTGATTCAGATAAACTACAAAAATAAGTATTTGATTAGCTTTTTCTTAATAGTTTTAAAAAAAACCAATATACTTATAGAAACTTATATGTCAAATCTAGGACTTGAAAATTTCAAAACCTATAAAAGGTAAGCTTATCTTTAATTTTATAAAAATAACTTAGATACCTTACCCTTAATAGAAACTTACATCTGATCAATGATTTGAATAACTCTAGAACCTACAAAAGATAAGCATTATTAGTGATTTTCTTTTAATTTAAAAGAAAAGACTTAATATTTTTTCTATAAGAACTCACCTTATATTCAAGACTTAAAGAATTTGGATCTATATCTACAAAAAAGTAAGGTTATGTTTAAAGATGATACAGCAATTGATTTCAAATTTACAAAATGTTGCAACATAAGCTAAAATTAGTTGCAACATATGTTGCAATATTATAAGTTGCAACATATATAGGTTAAAACTAATTGCAACATAAGTTGTAACATTAAAAGTTGCAACATATTAATTACAGTTCTCATCTTTAGTTATGTTAGTTATTTTCTTTTTAATTTTTTTAAAAAAAAATTTTTTCTATAGGAATTCACCTCCGATTCAAGACTCAAAGGATTTTGGAACCTATAAAAAGATAAGGTTACATTAATAATTTTTTTACTTTTTTTTAATACGATGTAATTTTTTTTAATTGTTTCTATTAGTCCATTATTTGTAAAAAAAAAAAAAAAAAAGTAAGTGTATTTTTTTTTGACTTTTAATTGTTTCAAAGAAAAAGAAAATAATAAATCTAAGGAAATAGTCTAATTTATAATCTAATTTTTTCAGCATAATTAGATAGTTAGATAGTTATAATTAAATTAATGTTAAATTAACTGATATGAAAATTAATTTAATTATATATATATATATAATATTGAAGAAAATGATTAATTTATAATTATCTGTCAAAAATTCATATTGAATAACACTTTCTGAATTTAAAAAAATCTGCAATGTAGAAATTCTCTTATTACAGTAATAAATAAAACATTATTGCATTCCTTCAAAATAAAATTTTCAATTTTATATGTAGTTATTTCCTTATCAATAATATTAAAAAGTTGACAGTTGTATAATGATGGTTAAGATGCTTGCTGAAATTCCCTCAAAATAATTTCGTCATATCCTTTACTATGTTTTTAATATAATTTCAGTTAATTTCAGGTTTTGGAATTTTGTCATACCCCTTACTATATTTTAATATAATTTCAGCTGTTTATTAATTGCTTTTTTGGGTTTCGTCCCTCATCTTTAATGATAATCATTATCTTTAATTTCTTTTAGAAGAATGTTATTAAAATAAATATATAATTATAGAAAGAACTAACTTCAATTAATATTTAATCTATTCAAAAGGAGAAACACATTTTACATTTAGTTGATTTAATTAATTTTAAAAAGATTTGAATAATTTGTAAAAAAATTTTCTGCTTGATTATTTATCAGTATTTATTATAATAAATATTCCATTAAATTATATATATACAGAAAAATTTTACTACTCAAATCTTAAAATAGAAAACCCTAAACTTTTAACAATGATTCCTCTTCAGAAATTATTATTTTTGGCGAATCCTTCCTTAATAGTAGATAATCAAATATGTTAGTCTTGATCAAAAAAGCATATCATATATTATTGTGTATGATAAATGATCTAAAAGCCTACTTATATAATAATAAGATAGACTATTGATACTATTAATAGTCTAGAAAATATATCATGTAGATTTATAATGATTGGTGACTTAAGTATTACTAATTAATATAATAATAATAAAGACTACCGTTGTAGTTGCCATAACCCTTATTTTACAAATGTATAGCATTTTTGAGTTTGATAAGCTTCAACATAGCTTATACCTTCTTGATTGTTTCTGCCACTCATCATTAAGAGGATTTGTTTTACAAATTAATTTTTAATTGCTGAGAATCTTTTCCTTCACGTTGTTACATCTGATTTGTAACTTAAATAAAATTCTCAAAATTAAATAATGCTAAGACTAAACTCAGGGAATCACAACGAAGATTTGTAGTAAACGTCAAAGGTTATTCTCAATTAAACACGAGTAACTTCTGGATATTTCAGAGATTACATTTCAGTGACTACATCTTAAGTCAATACAACGAATCAATACAATACCACGCAAAGTTAATAAACAATAATATTATATACACAGGTAAAAGGGGTTGTGAAGGATAAGTTTTAACTTGGTTAATTATACTCTTTATTAATTATAATAAATTGTAAGTTCTTTAAATCGTAAGGTATTGAGACTTAATAAAAATACAGTGATATTTATATATGTTTGATAATTATAAAATGAATTAAACTAAATAAATCTATGAAAAATAAATGACATCATCAAGGAAATAAAGTTGACAAAATTGATCAGCAAAGATTAT